TCACTATCTTCGGAATTTGACGTGATCTGCCATTGCCGTCAAACTAAAGGACGCCCACAGGAAGTATGTAATCGCCGGATAGCTTCGTAGGGAAACTGGCTCTGATAATGAAAAATCCGTTCCAAGCAGGGTTTCAGATAACGTCGTGATGATGCACGACCCACTCGTCTGAGCTCGAACATGGCACCATGCTGTGTCGAATTCTTGTGATGTCTACGATGAAAAGTCTATTACGGAAATTTCCGATAGAGTGGGATGTGCTCTTGAATGTTCAGTGTAGAGCATTCCGATTTGAATTCAGCCCTGCGATTAATCTATTTCAAGTGGAGAATTGCGCATGATTTTTTCATTGCCCCCTCCCCCTCTGTGAGTTGGCTTGGTCAAGATATACACTGGTGTGCAAAACTTAAGGACGAGACAGATGAAGTATCATAACCTTTTGATAGCTTTGTGGACCGTTTAACGGTTCCTGTTAACTGCTTTCTTTAGTGCCCTGTGGCAGCTCTTTGTATGTGTGGTTAGGTTCCATAGAGTCATGTTACGCGCCAGTAACACGTCGTTGGAAAAGCTACGTTCGTCCCTAAGTTTTGCACACCAGTGTATTTATACTATATACATATTTGTTACTAATTGTATAGACTGTAATATATTTGAGAGTAAATGTAATCTTACTGAACAGTTGGAGGATAACACTAGACAGATGCAGCAAGCACGTTCGTTTTTCCCAGTGCTCTAATTTTTTGCAAAATTTTCATATTCATTCTTGATTGGATTCCGGTATGTCCACTAGTCTGACAGTTTCTAATATTTAGAAAAGACTCTTCAGGTCATATTCGATTCTTCAGTTTGGTTCATTTTCGACGTTTTTTTATTCGTATTAAGTGAAGGAGATCCAAAGCCCTCCAGATGACACGAATGGCGCTCATAGAGTTTGGCATGGTTCGCAAAAGTGACACAACAGTTGCTTATTTTCCCCCGGTCATGGCGTCACATCGATATTTTCTCACCAGATGCGTTTTCATCCGATTTCGACGCCGCATTGTGCAAAGCAATCCACTGTCTCTCGTTCACTTACTCCTCCTGATTCTTTATTTTCGTAGCATTTTGGGGCTTCATCTCTAATTTAATTCCGAGTTAGTCCTGTCCCTTCTGTCTACATAATCCTAGGACCAAAATGATCCCCGATATCTCCCATATTACTAGGTGCTAAGGGCAGTAGCAGGAGCAAAACACTACGGAGGCTTAGCAGAGCATATGCTGGTCTGTACAACGACTTATTGTTAGTATATGAGGGCACAAATAAGACTGGCAAATTGAAAATAAGTTAAATATTGTATAACACAGAGAGGCACCAAAATTTTATTTCAAAAGAATTCCAAAAGTTCACAAAATTCAAAAATTCCAAAAACAAAAGTTTCAAAAGAGCAAAAACTTTTGAAAAGAATCCTTTTGAAATCTTCCGCGATATTTCGGTGTTTAACACCTTCTTCAGGCATGTGTTTGCCACAGCCAAGTGTAAAGCTGCCCTTACGGGAGCCGCGCCGTTGGAGTGAAAATAAGTTATGTACTCCATCACGAACACCATCCTACGATCCATTAATCCGAAATACAGACTGACAATTTATCAGTCTTCCAGGATTAAGAGTGTACCCTTACTTCTCTCACTCCAAATAGAGTGAAAGGAGTGAAGAAATCAACATAAAACACCAGGAGAGTGTGGTACTCGTATTCAGAAGGCCAAATAGCCTCCGATAGCAAATTTATAGGCAAATCGAAACCTGATCCATCCTTCGAAAACCGAGGGTTGAGCACCAGTTCACGGTGAATCTTTTTTACCATCATCGCCTTCACAAATGACCTCGCGTATAAGAATAGAGCAGGATGGCCACTTGTTTTTGATTGCTGACTACTGTTTTTGGGCCGAAGTTTCACAAGAATACTGGATTATAACACAACTTTCGCCACAGGCGGGTCTCGAACAACTGGGATGGAAATTGGGATGAAAGGAGGAGTAGCATAACTTTTAGCGCACCCCCTGTAAGCGAGAGGTGCGGAATCGAGCCCCGATTGAGCCGAAGTTTCGTTCAGTTAATCGTTTTATTCTGTCGCAAACCCATATAACTTCCTTAAAGGCATGCCCCAGGATCGCACTGGTGTGGCTCTTGCACACGAATGTGAATGTATCGGTGCCAAGTGGGCCGGCAGTGAAGAAAAAAGGAAAAGAATCCGTCGAAAACGCTCAGGTTGAGGGCTCACTCACCTTCCTAATTGGCTGTGCTAAAGGAACGAGAGACTAAGCGCGAAGAGGAGAGTATGGGGCGAGAGAGCGCATCAGATGAGAGAGCACCAGACAACGGCCTGATAAGAGAGCTCGTTCGCTGCAGCTCGAGCAGCTTACTTTGCAAGCCCAAAGCGTTCTTGTCGGTCGAATTCCGTGCACGTGAACGCCACATTTGTGATTGTCCCCTAGGGTTCTATACTTCTGACCGAAGAGAAGAGTTATAAAAAACCTCTGCCTGGGTTGTGCCTTTAACTGCCCATTCCTGCAAACACAAAGAAATTATAATTATGGGTGTGTTGATTTTCGTGCGACCCACGACGTCGTTGATTAACTAGACATATTCACCGAATCGTCACCTTCCGAGCTGACGGTTCTGTCGTATGAATGGGAACAACCGCTCTCGAGGTCCGTCAGAGCAGAAACGCATTCAAGAAGTTCATTTGTTGCCAAATGCTTTGTCAGGATGAGCTATTATTTTTGTAAATAAATCCTTGGATTTTTAGGCTGCCACAGGAGATGGACCTCAAACGGAAGACAAGTACATGGTCTACTCAAACATAACTCAAAAAGTGGATCATTTTGGCAATGTTTCTGCCACATGGAAGCAGGTGTGATCAGAGAGCTTTTCTCTATTCCCTTTATCTATCAATTTTCTTGCTCTTATTCAATTCGGAGGGTATGACATTGTAACGGTGGTCCATCTAGGGCACAGCTCAAGATGGGGTGAGCGAAATAATGCGAGTAAGCTCAAATGGAGCAGGGGCTCCGGACGATGTAATGTGAGGCGCTTTTGTGGCAGCAGATGTTCTAGAGACAACGTTATTAAGAAATGCACGAAATGCTGATCCTTCCGTCCTGTCGTTCGATCCGCCCACACGGTAGTATCAACTTGTCTCCATCGTCTCACTGATGTGCATGCCCTCTCGTCTCAGAAACTATTTTTCCCTTCGGGGCTCATTATCTCTCATCTCGCTGTCCAAGCCTTATTCTCTTCCTCATTGTAAAGAAAGGTGTCTCATTTTCGTGTTTTTGACGATTTCTCTTAGCCTGTTCTCACTTGGTCGTACTCCTACTTTCGTTATCGAGAGTTTTTCCCCGATGACTTTATTTTAGGGGCCTTTCACGTGCCCTGATTCGGCCAATAACTGTGAAACGTCTGAAGGCAGGGTCTGGAGAGTTCAGCAGGATGTAAATTCTCCTGTTTTATTGAGGCAGTTTGAATTTTGGCGTACATTAGAAGAGAAGGTATTGTGGAAAAAATTTCACGTCACTCCTCCCTGTCTAGCTTTCCAACTAACAAATACACAAAGAGATTGCTTTTATCCCAGATACCATGCATTACCAATGACTATCTACCGCTTTTTATATGTTATTTATATATTTTTCCTATCTAAACATTATCTCTGGGCGGAAGTGGTCAGTGGCAACTGGCGCGCTTTACCACGCGAGCGGTCCGCAATCGAATCCTAGGGTCGTGCGTCATCCGGGCCAACCAAGCCTTCATCCTTCTGGGTCGGGTAATTGCAACCAGACTCGTGTGCCGCAGATCACGTTACATCTTCGAATAGTGCGAAACAACAACCCTAAGCAAGGGAAGTAGCTATATTCGAGGGAAGGGGTCTCGGGACCATGGGTAAGCCATCCATCAAATAGTAAAAGTTATGTAAATTAAGACAAAATGTATGTAAAATTTATTGTAGGTTTGTCAAAAATCCAGCCGTCCAGGTCCTGGGAAGATATGTTATTCCACATTGCTGAGAGTATATATGGGTATATTAAGATTGCTAGAAACATTCCAAAAACAAAAGAAAAAGATAAACGTCGTGCGCCACCATGTGGCGCACGCGATCCGCGCATGGGTTAAACTGCACGTAACGTGAAAGAGAGGTCGCAAGCTTCTCCACTGGAACATTCGATTATCAAAAGGAGCCTAACCCTTTCTATTTACAGAAATCAATGAAAAGCGAAAGGTGAAGCTCACTAAGTGAAAGCGCAACAGTGATGGGTATCGTAAATATTGTACATAATTGTTATATGATATAGTTTGTTCAACAAGGTTTCTGATTCAACGTGCTTCCTACCACTCCGGAAAAGGGGGGAGTGATGTACAAAATGCGAAAAATACCATCCTGCTGGATTAAGAGGAATATCTTCGAATAGTCGATTAGTGGGATGTTTCATAAAGCCAATTATTCTTCAGCGTTACCAGTACAACTCGAAGTTCTACAACGCAACCAACGGCATTGTTTTTCTGATGCTCGGCGGTGAAGGTGAGCTATTTAATCGGCTTAGTCAGCATTGCTATAAAATGTAATGTTTGACTGATGGCACCTGATTTCAGGCTCAATTTCGCCTCCGGGTGATAAGTGGGTAAGAGACGAGAGCATAACCATGATGCAGTGGGCTAAGATGTACGGCGCGGCCGCGTTTCAGGTTGAGCATCGCTTTTATGGACCCAAGGAAAACAGCCCATTCGGGTAGGATCATCATTGTGCCCTAAGCCCTTGCAAGATTAACGGAACATGTTTTTAGACCACCAAATCTTTGTGCGACCAGCTTTCTGCAGAAATTCAAAAAGTACGTGAACGTTGCATTTCAGCAAGCAAGACACTGCATCACTGAAGTTCCTCACTATCGATCAAGCACTTGAAGATATCAGAGAATTTATCCAGCAGATGAATGAAAAATATTTCAATGGAACAAACACGAAATGGGTGACATTCGGTGGCTCTTATCCAGGTTCGTTTTCATGGTTACCACAGAGTTAAAGGACGAATTCACGATGAAAAAGCAACCCATTTCAAATTAACCTAGGGATGGTGAGTGGTACACGAAAGAAGGAAGAACCATGAGAAACGGCCCAGAACCCGAGAAATGGGACCCCTTCCTTGCCCGTTGATTCGACTCTCATCGCTGTGCCCTCTTCAACACTACGCTCTCTCAGCTATCTAATCACTCGCCACGTATTGAACTACGGCGAGTGATCAGATGATCGGTGGGCGGAGATCGCCGGACCCGCCAGCTTTGAGGCATGATAGGTCGCCGAGGTCAAATTTTTCCATGCGAATTGCGCGTCAGTTCGCACCCTCAGGAGGTCCGTGGGTCCCTCAACTAGGTTTTTCGACCTTCCTTCTAATCGTGAATTCCTCCTTTAATAGCTTCTTATAAGCAAGGCAAAAAAAAATGGTGATCAACGTTATTCATTCAGAGAACAACGTCAGACCCGATAAACTGTTTTGAAAAAATTTGCGACAACAATGCAAAACAGAAGTTATTTATTTTATTTATTTATTTATATTGTATTATTACGTTTGCATATGGCAATCGTGAGAAAGATATACAGTTAGAATTGTAAAAATAGAACTACACCTCAGTATTCAACACATGTGGCACGAAACAAAGCATGTTAGCATCACCATTCAATGGACCACACCAGGATTATTAGCACATTCTTAACAAACCTAGTAGGACAGTCAATCTCAGGAGACAAAGAATTTCATACTTGAGCAATTTTGCGGATATCTTCCTTCTGAACTGCCGTTAAATGACAAATGGCTGTTTTATTTTGGTAATTTAATGGGCGGAAGTGGTGTAGTGACAAGTGGCGCGCTCACCACGCGAGCGGTCCGGGATCAAATCCTGGGTCGTGAGTCGCCCGGGCCAACCAAGCCTTCCATCCCTCCGGGGTCGGTTAATTGGTACCAGACTTGTCTGGGAGGATAAAAACACTGACTTGAACATCGGCTGGCCCCCGCAAGTCATTGTATAGGCCACATCGCATTCAAACGCCACTGCGAATGTACAGGGGGGGCCAAAAAAAAAAGACATTTTGCCTATGTCGGACTTCGGCTCTTTTTTCTTCGCAGAGATTGCTGTCGTTGACGGGAGTTCCTCAGCAGAGTATTCCCTAAGTGTTCCTCTATTAGTGTACGCAGGCTCTCCTTCACTGCCCTCACCGTCTTCAGAATATGACGTCATCTGTCACCGTCGTCAGGCTCAAGGAGGTCTACCGTAAGAGCTTCAGCCTGAAGCTCTTACGCAATTTCGTGAATCGATTTAATGTTGGATAGTTTTCTAGAGGCATTAGCTACCACTGTGCAAATCCCCTCGGAACTAGCTTTCCAGTAAGGGTCGTTATGGTACACGATCCTTCGAAGACCCCATTGAGATCGACCAGTGCACCATGTTTCCAGGGCTAATTCTTCTGATGCCGTCCACGTACGTGGCCACTATGAAGATTTTCTTATAGAATGGAATGCACTCTTTAATAATAAGTTGGAACCGTTCGGTCTGAGTTGAGTAAAATGTGCTTAAATCCATCTGGAAGTGGAGGCAAAATGTCTTTTTTTTGGCCCCCCCCCCTGTATATAGAATGGGAAGTAGAATGCTGGCCGCATACAAAAAAGGATTGATCAGCGGCAAATGCTTTATCCTTTTATCCTTTAACATTTATATATGCACTTGCCGCTCTGCATGTGAAGCTCTTTGCTCTTAAGCTTGTTTAGGACACGCTAACACTATTTTGAGCCTTCCTCCTTTTGTCCGAGAAAGAGTTGTTTAATAAAGATCGTTTGAGCCAGAGCAGAAAGGAAACAATAGCTCATGAACCATACAAACATCATATACCTCACGCCTTGACTCAAGTGTGATCAGATTAAAGGTCAATTAAAGGCAAAAGTCGGGCTCAATAAGGGGGTATTATGGCGATTGAACTGAGTATAGAGATGCGAAGTGGAACGACAGTGGAGAAAAAACTGAGAAAAACCGTCGACAAGGCCGTTAACAAAACCCTCTTCCCCACTAGCAGTGAAGGAGGCTGGCTTGGGAAAGAGGCACGTACAACAAGTTTTCTGGAGATGTCAGTCGTTCTATCGGTTGGTACGGCAATCAACCTAGCTGATTTCACGCATCAGCTCCACTCACGCACACACATCTCCCAGGCGCGCGATAGCGCATAGTACATGCCCTGGGCCTTATTACCGCGCCGTTCGAGATTTTGAGCGTGGGAACATCTGTACTGGTGCGTAACCAAGTACAGAGATGACCGAAAGGGTTGGTTTGGTCAACTAATCCCGACCTTAGCCTTTAAATCGTTTGTTTCTGATCGATGCTCTGGGGATTTTCGAGTACAGGAAACTTTTGTTTCTTAACAGAACTTTACGAATGAAATTGTTTTGTACTTTTTCTAACACGTTAACTTCTCTTCTCCTATTTGTTTCTTCTGTGATATCGTGTTGTGCTTACTTTGAACGACCGTATCTCACAAACAGGCGCTACTTTCGCAAAACTGAAATGGACAAGACCCCGAAAAATACCGTAGGAGAAAATATTTGTTGCTGCTTATGTTTTCCACAAAACTAAAAAGGATAAAGCATTTGCCGTTGATCAATCCCTTTTTGGGATGCGGCACGCATTCTACTTCCATTTGTACATTCGTAGTGGCGTTTGAATGCGATGTGGCCTATACAATGACTTGCGGGGGCCAGCCGATGTACAAGTCAGTGTTTTTATCCTCCCAGACAAGTCTGGTACCAATTAACCGACCCCGGAGGGATGGAAGGCTTGGTTGGCCCGGGCGACGCACGACCCAGGATTCGATCTCTGGAGCGCATACGCCTTTCCACATAAGTACTATCTATTAATGTCACAAATATTAATTTATGCAATGCAGTCATTCTCTTTGTGTCGAACAGTGGGTTCCTTGATGTTCTCCCCGAAAAAATTGGGAAGCCCGTTAGACTCATGTTGCTACACACTTCATGGGGTGGAGCACCAAGCCTAATTCGACCAACTTCGTTCTGTTGAGCTTATTCGAATGTACAGAATGTACAGTCGATATCCGAAAGTTGGGGTAGGCGTGTCACCGGAAGTGACGTGCACTTGATAGAAGTTGCGTGGATAAGCTGTTGCCAGCATGCTTTGCTGATATCCAGCGATGTATGTTGGAAGCAGCTTATCCACATAGTTCTATCAAGTGCACGTCACTTCCGGTGACACGCCTACCCCAACTTACGGATCTCGAGTATATTTTCACTGTTTTGCACCCATTCTACATACGGCCCATTCGTACTTCCAGCCCATGTGGAAGGATCAATCATGAAATTGAAATTATTTTTCTCTAATCATGTTGTTGTTTGATTTATTCTTCATGTGGGGTGTCGGTCAAGAAGCTGACTATGCGGCAAGTGCATGGAGAAGCAGGGACATTTCTGCTCAGTTGTTTGGACGGACGGGATCAGTCTGGGCGTATCCTAGCAACTTGGTGTAGAATTAACTGGACTCTGAGACGGTAGTGATTTGCCCCATACTAGCATTAGTTGTAAGGATGAATCCTCACTGGCGAAGAATTAGGAACGGTGAAACATGAAATGACCCTAGTCAAAACTGTCTGCTGCATGATGGGACCCGTAGACGGGATTCCGCTGTGCCATAGCTGCGTGGAGAGACGTTGTCAACAGATATCAACGGATATTGTTTGCAAATCTCAGACTTCACGCAATGGTGATCCAGTAACTTTCTTTGGCTTAGAGCAGCCAGAAGATCCTAAGGGATTCTCGACACGATAGCGTCAAAAAAAGCAGAAATGGTGCAAGACGAGAACGGAACTGTCGCAAAATGTTAGAAGTTTCTTTATTTCCGATGACCAATGGTGTTACCACCCACAAAAACGACATGTTTGAGCACAGAATGCCTGCATGTAGCCTTGCATAGATGGATCTTTACATTTGCCTTCGGCCTTGTACTCCTTGCAATCTTCCGTATCGCCGGCATCTATGCATGCCTGCAAATCGTGAAGTAAGCAAATGGATTCGTTATTGCAGATCTAGCGCATTGAAAGAACGCATTCACTGTGCCATCCCGTCTGGGCGGGCACCCAATTTTGCAAGTGGGCACTTCTATCATACTGCTAAAACACAATTGAATGCAACCCTTACCTCAGTTGTAAAGGCGTTGAGCAGGAGAAGCGCACAAAGGAAGTAGAAGAACATGTCGAATTTCTCGAATTCGTAACGAATGCCAGCTTCTGTAACTCGGTCCTATTTATATTGCTTTAACCGGGTACTGTGATCCCCGTTGCAGGTGTGTCGTCGAAAGCATGTCAAGAGAGCGCTCCACAAACATCCCTAAATGTGACATTTTTTGTACTTTTCAGGAGAAACATCATTACGTAACCTAAAACGTCAGAAGTATTATGTTCCGTTCAGCTCTGCAACTCTCTATGCAACTCTATTTCTCGAGAATGCGACGTAAGGGAAAACGAAGCAAGGGAACTGCTGAAGCAACAGATTTCCTTCTTCCGTGGAGAATTCAGAAGTCAGTTGAAGTGGGCAAGGAAGTATAGCACCATTGAGATCGATAACCAGTTAGTGAGTCATCAAAGCTATATCACAGGCACAACCCGCACGAATTGATGTAGATGAATCCCTTCATTGGAGCAAAATTCAATGGCCACGCTCTGAGGTCGGGCGTTTCTGGCCGCCTGGTGTCACCAGCACACCTTTCGATGCGAAAACGCCATGCCCATTTCCTTTGCCGCCTGGTGGTCGCTTCTACTGGCGCATATACTTCCTTGGTGCAGGCTCACTCCAATAGGCTTTCAAAGTCCGCATAGAGCTAGAAGGTATGGCGCCTTAGCAGCAAACTTTGTGG